TCCCCAGACCACAACCATTCCATGTCCACAGTCATCCCTCCAAGTCACATCACCATGACATCACACTCCACTTTCTCCTCCCACTCACGACCTCTTCCCTCATCACTCCCATTCCCTCCTAGTAAATAAACACTCCGAGGCTACAGCATTTTTATGTCTTTATTTTTTTAATAAACTTTATTCTATATTACAAATACTTTTCCCATTTGTTTTGTTTCTTTTTTTATTTTTGTTTGTTCTGGACTGCAAAATAGGAATGCCTCATATTTACATACACAGGTATACAATTAATTATAACAAAGGTACAGAAGCTTTGCCTTTACCAAGTAACAACAGGATTCCAATCGAAATAGCTGAGATTTCACTTTGCTTCAAACCAGGTTCAAGTCAAAAGAAAAAAAACCCAAACCAACAACAACACCAACCTAAAGAAAAAAGATCCCAACCTCCTTTCTAATGGTGTCTTGACATCTCTTCGAGGCTGTGACACTGAGGGCAAAGGATGTGTCTTTACATTGAGTTTGGATTGAAACTTGAGAAAAAAAACAGAGGATGAGACTCTGTGCTCGTGGGGATGTCCAAGACTCAGGGGCAGACACGAGGAAGGGTCTGTCTTGGGACCTTAAATTAGCCACTTGCCTCTCAACTCTGTGGGGAAACACTGGGGGTGTTTACTAGCACCTAAACTCTGCTTCCCTCCCTTGGGGAATTTCTCCAGGGAATGGAGAAAAAAAAGCAGCATAGAAATCTGAATTCCCACCAAGTTTCTCTTCAGCTCCTTCAGAAGGGACTGTAAGCCTAAATCTCCTGTTTCCCACACCCAGGGTCACTTTTTTAGCTTCCCTGCTCTCTGCTGGAGCCTCTTGGAGCTGAGCTCTTTCCAAGCAGAAAGAATTTCTTGAGGTAAACTCTCTATTTTTACAACAGAAGATTCAAAAAAAATAACCCAACAACCAACCCAACAATGACCAAACACCAACGACAACAGAAACATCACACGTGACAGGTTGATTAGAATAAGCAGCTTTTCAGTGGGTGGTTGTTTTTTTTTTTGGCGGGTTTAAGTTTTCCAAGTGTAAATCCTTTTGTTTGAACCTTTTTTCCTCAAATGAGTGTTCTGCTGTAAGTCTGTGTCCCCTTGGGCTTCTCTAAGTGTACTGAACTGAGTTATCCCAAAGACAACATCATTAGGAGCTCCATGGTCAAAGTATTCCCTGCCAAACAGTTCCTCCCTGTAAGACAACACAATCCTGTTGGAGAAAGGGCAGGGAAAACTGCAGGACTCCATGGACCAAAGAACACTCTGAAACTGGAGCAGGATCAGGTGCAAAGCAGCAAAACTCAGGCTGAGGCTCACCTGGGTCAGCACTTGGCTGCTCCACAGCACAGCGAGGTTGGATGGCAAAAGTTAGGAACATCCCAAAAACTCCACTTGCCCCAGAGGAAAACTCTTCCATTACTCACCAGATGCACAGAGCAAACTGTCCTGGAATCACTAAGGCTATGTGGTTGGTCTTAGGTTGTCCAGAGAAGCTGTGGATTCTCCATCTCTGGAAGGGCTCAGGGCCAGGAGCACCTGGGCTAGTGGGAGGTTTCCCTGCAATGCCAACATGGATCAGTTGCCTGCAGTGCTGGAGAAACACCCACAAAGATCAGCCCAGCCCTGGCATAGTCTGGATATTAGGAGCTTATCCCTTGATTTCTAGGAACATTGGCTCCAATTCTCTCCATCTGCCTTGAAAACCAGTATGGAAAACTACCTATTTCTTGGGCATTTTTGGTCAAGTGTGGCAAGGGAGGTGGGGAAAAGAACTCAAAGGAACTGAACAGATCCGTGTTGCAGTAGGGCTCAATCTTCTGCTTTGTGTCTTTGTTTTCAGTCGTATTTGACATGCACTTAAAAAATAGTTAGCTCAGCAGGGGAGGCTGGGGAGGAAGATGCCAAGAGCTCTCCTAGACTGGGACAATGGGTGGCAATGGGGAGGGCACTGGAGGGACAGGGGAGGAAGCTCACACATTTACAGCACAATTCTGGCACATTTTCCAAGCCAAAAAAACCCCCAAAAAAGCAAAATCAGCTCCAACACCAAATAAAGAGGAGCAGAAAGAAAACAGAAACAAAAGAGATGAAGCAAAATGCAGATTTCCTATCATCAAATCCTGAGCACGGGAGAAAGCAGAGGGTGGAGAGAAAGCAGAAATGCCTCTATGGGACCTTGGAAAGGGTAAAGCCAGCAATGTCCTGGTGTTTTCCCTTTCCCCTAAGTGTCTCATTCTTGGTGTCTCTGAGGTGTTCAAGTTTTTTCCCTCAAAAAAATAGATCTATAACATACAGATGAAAAAACTTGGTACCAGCAAGCAGAAATCAAACGCACACCAATGGCAACCAAGCAGCAGAAAACAAACCAGTGAGCAGGAGAGTGAGGCTCAGCTCTCCCCTGGGTGCTCAGCAAGGACAGTATCACACCAGTTCAGTTCTGTGTGTGACCAACAGCTTCTCCTTCCTTTCCTGTGCACATGTCCAGGCACTACTGCCCATCACCCATCACCACTTCCCTCCAGCTCAGTGTCCTTAGCCTCCTCCACTATCCAGCTGGGAGTACAAGGCATGACAATAGGCTCCATATTTCTCTTTTCTGGCACTTTGTTTGTCAAAACCTTTGGTTTCTTCCTTTTTTTTTTTTTTTACATTTTCCTTTTTTTTTTTTAACATACTTATAAAAAATACTGTGTTTGAGTTGCTGTTGTCCCTCCCTTACACCTGGCTCTGGTGGGTTGTGCCCCACTGTCACAGCCGTAAGCAACGGGGGTGGATCATGAGCCAACATCACTCCAGGGCTCACCAAAACCAAAGCCAACCAAACCCAAACCATCCCCAATCCTCAGGAAAAATGCTGAGCTGTCCATAAGGTGCATGATGAGTCCATCAGCTCAGCAGGCAAACAAAGCAAGCAGAACTGCAAGGGCAGCACACACACACACGTGGGGACACTCACCCACACACAGAGCAGAGAGAAGTGTCTGGGGCTTCAAACCAAGACGTGTCCCTACGTTTGCTGCTCAGCCTTGGGGATATTCTCCCCCCAGATTCTTTGAGGCTCTTCTATGTGTCTCCCTGCTTGGCTGAAGGGAACCCACCTTGGCTCCTGTCTGCACCACGTCCCCATTCCACATGCTCAGGAGCTCTGAGGTGGTTCTGCTCTGCTAGCAGAAGGCATCAGGAAACCAAATGCACCTGCTCTGTAACCAATTAACCTTCCTTCCACCCCTTCCTCCCCCCAGGGGCTAAGTAGGCCCAGGCTGTAGCTCCAGGGTGGTGTGAGGGGGTCGTGGCCTGATTCTCAGCCTCTCCTCCATCTCCCAGGGAGCTCAGCTCATTCCTGTTGAGCTGAAAGCAAACCCAGCACTTGCCTCCAGGAGGTACAAGACAAAAGGTCTTTTGAGTGGAGAAAGCTGCTTCTTCAAGACCTGAGAGTCTCTGACCACGGTGTTGTCCAGGCTGGCACCTGCAGAAGAGATTCATCCTCTTTGGTTGGCCATGAAACTGGTTGAGATGTTGTTCTGGAGGAGCTGAGCAGAGGATGGAGCAGGGTAAGCACCCACAATTGTCCCATGGTGACAGTGATCTCTGAAGGGATAAGAAGTGCAAAGAGAGATAAAATCCTTCCCAGGCAACAACTGTGCCTTCAGCAAGGCCTGTTGGTTCCAGAAATGGAGAACAGCAAAGGCCAAGAGTTGGCACCAAAAGGCAGATGGGCTTACAGTGGTTCAGAGACATCCAGAAGACATGCAGTTTGTCTGGGGGTATCTAGGTAGAAGATATTTTTTGCAGTATTTCATTTGGATTTCCTCCAAGATTTCCTTCCAAAATGGGTGGTGACATTTCCTCTCAGGAGTGGCTTGGAAGGAAGGTCTTACCATCAGTCTTAGGCACCACCTTATGTCATGGCAAGCCCTTCAGTTCCTTCTGAGATTCCACCATGAGAAAACAACAGCTTTGTTCCAGCTGAAGAAACAAAATGCAAAGAACTAACAGCTTAAAATAAAAAATCCCTCTGGTTGGTTTGAGGCCTGGAACCAAAGGAGACCTGTGGCTCTTGCTTTCCAAGCTGAGGTGGGAAGAAGGAAAATGCTGTGCTGTCCATTGCCAGAAGGAGCAGAACCACCACCACTGATGAGATACCACTGAGCAGAGAGAGCATTTTTGCCTCAGTGTTAGGACCAACAGGACACAAAGGGAAAGACAGAAGGAGACACGTGTCTCTTTGAAAAATAAGAAGAACCAGATGAAACACATGGGCAGGAGAGCATTGGCCTCCTCTTCCCCTCTCCCTGCCCCCAGAGAGCAGCTCCACTGCTGTCTGCCCAGGCAGGTAAGAACCACAGTGTTCCCACTCTGGACAGAGCTGTGGCATTTCTCAGGGAGCCTTGGGGTTCCTCTCCCAGTGGGTCCCTCTCTAGAGACAGAGGGGGCAGAGTTGCCATTGCAGGAGAGGGCCTGGAGCTCTGGGATCCCTGCAGGCAGTTTGCCATCCCCTTGGGGACACTGTGAGTAATACTGAGTTCATTTCCATGTCCACTCCAGAGGCCACAGCCCTTGGAGGGCAGTTAAAGCAGCATGACAGAAGTTACCTCCAATTTCACCTCTGCAGAGTGATGATGTGATGTTGGGGGAGGGTCTGGGGGGTCTGTGTGTGTTCAATAGTTTTTCTCTAGGGCAAAGGCAGAGGGGAAGCTGTGTAAAGGAGAGCTCCACCCGAATGTCTTTATGTCCCCAGAGCCAAGTTGCTCTACAGTCTTTTCTTTCAGCCCCTGGGGCTCAATTGCTTTGTCCATGGATCTGGGAAGAGAAGGAAATGAGAGGGAGAGAGGAGAGAGAGGAGCACTGTTGGGGTGACTCTGCTTACAGCCCATCAAAACTTGCACTTGGTAAAGATGATGATCTTGTGTGAGGCACGACTTGGTTTATCCCTCCCAGGGTGTCCCTGGCAGGACAGTTCTCAGCTGTCTATGCTCATGAGGGTTATGACTTGTTCAAGTTTGTAGGCAAGTTTCTGTTTCCCAGCCTGGTCATCTTGATCAAGGGCTCCGAGGATCTGGAAAGGGAGAGAGGAAGAAGTGAGAGGGAGGGGTTTTTTTCTCTCCCCAGAATGACTGAGTAAACCCAAATGCACCAGCTCTGTAAGCAATTGCCCACCCTGGCTCCACCCCTTCCTCCCCCAGGGGCTAAGCAGACCCAGGTTGTATCTCCAGGGGTGGTGTGAGGTGGTCATGGGCTGATTCTCAGCCTCTCCTCCATCTTACAGCACATGAGGGTTGGTGTTCTCTAAGGTAGGTCCCAGGCTTAGCTTAGATCATAGTTACAGAATCATTAAGGTTGGAAAAGACCTCCAAGACATCAAGTCCAACCTTTCACTCATCACCACCTTGTCAACTAGACCACTAAGTGTGTCTCAAACACCTCCAGGGATGGTGACTCCACCACCTCCCTGGGCAGCCTGTTCCAATGCTTAACAACCCTTTGAGTGAAGAAGTTTTTCCTGATGTCCAGGCTAGGTCCAGCAAAGCAAGTCAATCAGCCAGCAGGCAAGTAGACAGGCAGTTTGGGATTGACCTGACTAAATGCAGATCTCTAGGTTCCAGCCAATCAAATGGATTCTTATCTTGGAGATCAGTTATTTACTAGCTCTGTTCATCACACCTTGCCATGACACTTCAGATGCCCTTAAGGGATCTCCTCTGGTCTTCCCCACAGGGAACCATGCAGGGCACCTAAAGTCCTGTGTTATGCTTGTTAGACCATTCTTGGGTGCTTTGGGGTATCTGGAAAGGCACTGGGCACATATTCTTAAACAGCTCTTGGCCACATTGGATGTAGAGCTCATGTGGAGCTCCTCTGCAGTGACTTAACATCTGACCATCAACCACCTGATTCATCTGACTGACCTGATTCATCTCTGATAGGGGACAAAAATAACAGGGAGCCACATGGAAGAGCACTGGGAAGACCAAACCCCTTCCCTTTCCAAACCCCTGAACCCATCACCTGCCCCAAGCCTGGCCAAAGAGATCTCTGTGACACACCTTGGGCCCTGGGAAGGGCTCTGAGGCTCTTACCTCCTCGCTGTACTTGCCTACGTAGGAGTAGATCTCTGAGAGAGCACTCATGGTGTTGAACTCGTTCATGTGCATGCGAGACTGCTCGGCCAGGTACGCGTTCATGTCCTGGTCACTGATCGCTGGCATCTTGGCAATGTCTGAGTAGTACCTGGGAGACACAAGTACAGCTCTGCCTTAGGAGAGAGAGATGAAATTCCCCAGCAGTAAGGAGAAAAATCCACGCTTAGCAGTGTTGGGCTCTTCTGGTGCACCAATGAAATGCATCTTTGAGTACCTGCCATGCTCTTCTTTTCCAGCAGGGAGATGGCTCAGCCAGAGTGGAAATGGCTAAGCAACACACATGTGTTGTGTTCATTCCACCCCTGACTTAAGATTGAAGTCCCAAAGAGCATCCTAGAAACTTTCTCTGTGCCATCAAAGACATCAATAGCACCTTTTGATAGTGAATTCCTTCATGAGGCTTTCAAGGGCTTTCAGCTCTGTCCCTAGTCCCACAGAGCTCTTTCTGCCCACTGAGAGCTCAGGATTTCACTCCCATAAACAGAAAAACCCCAAACCCTTTTGCTCTTACTTGCACCATTCCCCAGCTGGTGATGAGGCCTTGAGCAACCTGTTCTGGTGGGAGGTGTCCCTGCCCAGGGCAGGGGATTGAGACTAGTAAATTCCATTCCATCCCCTAAAATTGTATGATTCTATGATCTGCACCCATTGCTATCATCCCCCTCCCACTCAGCCTACTCTATCCCAGCAGCTCCTCTGATGTTCAGCATCTCATACAGCCATAGAATCATCAGGGCTGGAAGAGACCTTTAAAACCATCAAGTCCAACCATTAACCTGTCACTGCTGTAACTCCTAAACCAGATCCTCCAGTGCCACATCCAGACACCTCTCAAACACCTCCAGGGATGGTGACTCCACCACCTCTCTCAAAGCTATTCCAATGCCTGACATCTCATTTTGAGCCCTGAATTTTAAGCTGACCTGACATTTGTGACAACAAATTTCAGCCCTCCCATCCCCACTCTGACTGGGGGAAATCTGCTTTCCTTAGGAGTCAACACCATTCCCTTCCAGCTCAAGAGGACTTGGGGCTTTCCCCATAGGACCATTGCTCCATCTGCAGAGTGGTGTCTCTTTAAGGAAGTTGCTATTCTCCATGTCCTTGGTCCCCTGGGTAAGGCAGGTCTGGGAGGACAAGGTTTGCAGAAGGTAATCAGTCACTGTCACTGGCAGCTGTGCTCTGCTGTCAACTGCTTAATTAGACACCAGCATTTACATTTTTAATTTCTGCAATTTGACATTTTGTGCACAAGGAAAAGGGAAAAAAAATCAAAAGCCTCAGAGCTGCAGCAATGCAGAGTTCTCTAATGAGGAGGCAGAGGGGCCAAAGGAGCTGAGAGGTGTCCTGTAAACAGCCCTGAGGCACCTGCTGGGATGGAGTTTCTTTGTGCTGCAGAGGAATTGGCCAGTGAAGTGCTGAGTGCTAAGGATCCTTGAGGCAGAGGACTGGGAACATCCTTTCCATGCCAAAGTGGGATGAGCAGCTGAAGGAATCTCCTCTGAGAGCATGGAGGGAAACCCTCCACACCAGGAGGTTCCAGGTTTGCTCAGTCTGGTTTTGTGCCCTGCACTCCCATCCTGATTTATTGCTCTGGGTTGCTCTCCTGGATTTGATGGTGGTATGTTGATGGAGCTCTTGGGAAAGAAAGGCATAGGAGGCAGAGTTCCTTCTCCCAGCTCCAGCAGAGTCTCCTTGCTTGACTTGTTCCACAGCTACACTCTGATTCATCATAAAAACTCACCCAAACCTCAGGAATTTTGCTGCAACTTCCCTTCTGTTGTGTCTCCTGCAGTAGGCACAACATTACTGTGCCTGGAATCCTCTTATCTTGTCCTCTGAGCTCAGGACCAGCCAAAAATCCTCATCCAACTCAGTCTCATGGTGTAAATATTGCTCATTCCCAGTACTCCAGTGATGAGTGCTCTGGGTTTCATTTGGCTTTGCATTCTGCTTAGCCCTCAATCCCCAAGTGCACCTGGAAAGTTGGGTGTGAGTAAAGCAGCTAGAAATCCCAAAAGGACCTGTCCTGCTGACCTCTCTCCAGGAGAAGATGGGAAACAGCCTGGAAAAGTATTTCTAGACCTTTACCATTCCCAGAAAAACTTAAACAGGTCTCAGCATCAGCTGCTGGATAAAGTCAGATCTGTGCTCCATGGACAAGACAAAGCATCAGGAACTGGTGGTGTCAGTGACATTGCTGAGGGAACAAGGAATCACATGGCCAAAAAAGCCTTGGAGGAAACCAGGCTGTAATGCAGCAACATGCACTGATTTATGGTGCCTAAGGGGAGCCCATGGAGAAGAGCTGAGCTCCTCATGACTGTTCCATCCTCCTGATGGCTGAAATGAGAAGGGAAGGGGATTAACATCCCAGCAAAGGTAAATGAGACAGAGGTGCCAGTCTGGCTCTGACAACCAGCTGAAATGCTCCTTTCCCTCTCTGGTTCAGCTGCCATCAAATGGGGGTAGGACAGTGGGGGTAGGGACAAGGAGCTTCCCAAAAGTGGAGCTAACATCCCAGCAGGGACAAGGAGCTTCCCAAAAGTGGAGCACAGACACATATCTCATCTGCTTCTCCAAGTTTGTCCTGTTTCCCTTGCACCTGGCAGCAACAGCCTCCTGAGCCTGTGACTCACAGGGTCTGAACACTCCCCAGCTCTTCAGAGATGTCTCCCCACTCCCATGACTCATCCAGACAACAGAAACAGCACAAAATGCTCCTAGGAGTGAAGGATGAGATGCACAAAGCTGAGTTTCAGCACTCACAGTTCCAGGGCTTGAAGGTCTCTCCAGCCAGGACAGACTCTCAGTGTTCTGAGCCCATGGCCCATTACCCACCATCACAGCAAAATGTCCTGCTCTCCTCCAGCCTCAATTCCCTGGCATCACACCCTGAGCACACATCTCCCATTCAGGCTGCAAAGCAAGATGCTGTGGAAATGTGTTTTGGGGCAAAAGAAAAGTAAAAGAAAGGGGAAAAAGCAACCAATCCTAGCTGCCAGCACAGGGAGAAGACACAATATCCTTCCATCTGAATTCTGCCATGGCCCAGTGACTTATTTATGCAGAAGAGTTTCTAATGAAGCCATCATTGCTCTCTCTAAAGAAATGATGAATGTGTATATTAAAGCATCCTAGCAGGGAGATGACAACATCCCTGTAGAGTCTTTATTTACCTTTTATTTGAGCCCAGCTCCTCAGAGGTACTTAGGGCCTCTCTGCCATTTGCATACCCCTAATGCAAAAAAAAAGCCCCACACTGTGAAGCTGTCACCAAACCCCAGAGGTCCTTCCATTTGCAGTGCTGGAATGTGCAGGGCTGCAGCTGACAGCTCTCACAGCAGAGCTGGGCTGGGAGTGCAGGGGAGGGAGATGCTCTGTCCTCATCCTGCTCCTGTGAGCTGAGAACCACCAGATCTCACCTGAGACATGGCCAGGTCTCACATTTCCAGAGGCTGCATTACCCAGCAAGAGGCTGGGAACACAGGACTGCACCAGATTCCCTCTGGATGAGACAGGAAGGGAGCAAAGCAGCAAATCTATCTTAGCCTCCCTCCGAAAGGTCAAGAGTGAGAGTCTGAAGTAGAAGACAGTGATGTGCACTAGCTGCCAGTTTGGCAGATTTGCTACTGCTTCTGTACTCCAGTTTGGTTATCTCCTTTCCCAGAAGATCCTTAGTTACATCTCAAAAGATCCTGCCTGATGTGCTGGAGTTTCCCCCAGATCCCAGGAACAGCCTAAGTTCTCACCTCAAGGTTGTTTGCCCTCTGATGTGACAGGAGAATGGTTTGCTAGACTTCAGAAGCAATAAAACCTCCAAGAAATCAGGGTAAATCCATCACTCCAGCACATCAGCAGCTTAGCTGGAGGATGTGAGGATTACTAGGCCATGGGATGTAACCTCACAGGTATCATTAGCACAGCAACTCACCCCAGGCTTGGACTGGAGTAGTCCAAGAGACCATGCACTGCCACTGCTGTGGATAAGGATTTTGGATGCACAAATTATATATCCCTCTTATCCTCAAAAAATAATTGTTCCTTTCCCAA